GGGAGGGGGGGTAAAAAAGACAAAGGGGAGTCCCTCCCAAATGTATCCATATGGACATCTTTGGGAAGTAGCAGCAGGTGTTTCAAGTGTTGTTTAATGTTTTTGTTCTCCTTTTCCATGTCCCAAAAGACATTTGAAGCTAAAATTCACCATCTGGAGACCAGGCTTAGCCAAAAGCCCCGTGAAGGGACCGCTGAACTGGAGTACTTTGTGCGCTGTGAAGTCCACAGCTCTGACCTCAATACTTTCATTAGCTCCATCAAGAGGGTAGCGGAAGATGTGAGGACCACTAAGGAAGATAAATGTAAGGAACTTACAAACTGCTTCAGTTTTGTGGAGAAGCTAAGCTGTAGAGACAGGGTGGATACTTTGTTATTCCCACAAAAAGGGAAGGGTTGTTGTGTGATGCATTTGGGCAAAACAGAAAAGACAGCCTCTGGGACACCTGAATCCTGAAAGCCACTCCTTGCCCATTTCTCAACAGACTCCAGAGTCCATAGCCCTTAGACAGGTTGAAAACAACACCAGAAATAGGAGATATTTCATGTTTTGTTCACACCTCTCCTACAGAGTTTTCTGTTCCTGCTCCTATTTTATATTACAAATGTAAAGTAGATTCCTACCTGTGTGTCAGAAATTCTATATCGATCCAGCACTAAACTACAAGACACTCCTCATGCCATCCTGTTCTGAAGACAGGGTGATTCTTATTGTAAAGTATCCCTAGAGATCTGCAGTGATCACTTTACAAACAGTTTGACCTGTGGATTTGTTTTTAACGTGAAGTCTGGAATCTCTCAGTAAAATCTAATTTTCATCTTTTGTTAACTTTTGTGACAAAATACTCTGCTGAGTACCCTGCTCATCTCAAGCAGGGAGGTCAGGAGATGGAGATCATGACATTAGACCTGAGTGTAGGACAGGAGCATTGAGAGTGTAGGACTACTTCCCAAAAGACACAGCTGTGTCATGTGCTGCTGTGTGTGTGCATTTGGTACATCAGGTTAGATGTATATTATTCAATCTCACAACCCCTTCTCAGCAAGGGATGTCTTGTCTTCACTTCTACAGCTGGTGTTTCTCTTTTCCCACAGTTCACTGGTTTCCCAAAAAAATTTGTGAACTGGACAAGTGTCACCATTTGGTCACCAAGTTTGACCCTGACTTGGATCTGGACCACCCGGTGAGTTAGTCTGTGTGGGCACATCCTCACATTGGGGTCCTGAGCCTTCCCTCAGAAGCTGAAGAAATGTATTAATGCAGCTGATCAAGGAACTGTAGTGCAATCATCAGCATGAGAGAAGTTCCTCCAGCCACTGATGAGCTTTGTTAGATGAGAAGTTTTAGTAACTGATCAAAAATCCTGTCTCTGTTCCTATTTGTCATCATAGGGCTACTCTGACCAAGTATATCGCCAGAGGAGGAAATCAATAGCAGAAATTGCGTTTCACTATAAGCAGTAAGTCTCTCTCCTAACATCCATGCAGGGATAATGCTGTGTCAATACAACCTGTTGGGATTTCATTGTGCTACTTGCATGAGACTTCTCTTCTTTTATGTTTTGTCTCTCCATTCAGCCTTGCCAGCTCTTTTTGTGTGCCTCTTCTGTCTGTGTATTCCAGCTTCTTCTTAATTAAAAAAGTCTGTGATCATTAATTCATACATTGATAAAGCCAGAACAAATCTCCTGCATAACAAAACCCACATATAACCTCATCAGACCTCAAGCTTCATTTTGAAGTGTAGCACCTCTTTTAGAATGACACCTAGTCTCAACTTCAGTGTTTCAAGTACTGAAAAAGCTACAACGTGCCCATAAAATTTGTTCCAGTGGCTCATTATCCTGGCTGTGGAAAAATGTGGGTTTTATTTCTAAATGGAACTTCAGTAGCTTTATCTTTCACTCAACAGATCATACATGCCTTTCATCTGTTTGAATTTTGCTATCGGACTTCTTTTTGCTATAAGGCTATTTATAGCCTAAATGGCTTACCTCCTAACTCTGATAAATTAAATAGATTCCAGTAATGGTCTCATCATTATTTTATATAGATTTAAGACTATCTCTTGTATTCCTACTTAATACTCATGTTCTGATATATGCAGTGATACCACTCAGCCTCTTCACTACAATATCAAACAGAGCTCTAAGATTCAGTTGGGCTTGTAAAATATTCCCTAGATCCTATTCAGTAACACTGTCTTCCACCATAGCCTCTCTCTCTCTCTCTGAGAAAGACTTTAAATGTATATTTCTGCAGCAAGCCATGCTGAAAGCAGGCTATGGAAATTATATGTGTCACCTTCTTGAGCTACCTCTATAACTGGTATGATCCCAGCATGGCTTTCTGCTCTGTTAGGTTTCATGTTCTTTGCAGAATTGAAGCCCAGAATATAGGTGTTGATGTTTATAACCTGTAGTAATACTAAATGCACAGAAAGTCACTGTGCCAGCAAGAGGGTTCTGAGGGACACAGAAGGAAATACTCTCTTAAGATGATGCACCCATTTAATATGTCTTCTCTCACATCTAGTCTGCAGGTTAGCATTTATGAGCTGCTGTGTAGGATCCCTTCAGGCTGTTAATGGAACAAGCACAATGCTTTATCACTGTAATATGTGAATACCTCATTTGTTCAAGTACAGAACAGAAGGATTTAGGAAATACTATTGCTAAGTGTGATGCAGAAAAGGCAAAAGTGTCAGTCTTCTGTAGTTCCCACTTATGATAATGTTAAATTTTTCTTGCCATCTTTAATCTTACTGGCAATATACTTTTCTGTAGTTCAAATGGGTTTATATTTCGTTATTAGCAGCTTTTATTTCCCAGCCACTGTTTCATTCTTGGAACCACCAGCTCCTTGAAGTTCAGGCAAATGAAAATATTTCTTTTCACAAAAAGTTTCCATTTTTGCCAGTGAAAAATATATTTTTCTGAAAAATATTATGCTTGGTAAGCTATTGCTCATCCCTTGTTCATTTATAACCTCTGGCTATGCTAAAACTTTTCTCTGTGTCCATGTATATGTTGCACCTGTGCAAATTACCCAGTACCAAGGTTTTGTCTTTCCTGTCACCCCTTGTTTGGTATAAAGAAGACTGAGCGACATCATGCAGAGCTTCTCCAAAATGCTCCCTTCTCAAAGGGAAGAGGAGCCTGACTTGTGCTCTGCAGCTGTCAGTAATGGTGCATTTGCCTTGCAGTGGGGACCCGATCCCTCACGTGGAGTACACAGCGGAGGAGATTGCTACCTGGTAAGCACTGACTTAATCTGTGACCTCTGTTGGCTTCACCAGTAGAAGATGGGAATCAAAATCTAAATGTGAGGATGTGGCCTCTTGGAAATGTATCAGAATTGCAAGCACCCTAGTTAATGGTTTGTTATAAAAACTAGTAACCCACTGCATGGAGTTTTATGGTAGAGGCTACATTCGGGAGAGAAAGCTACTCCAAAACAGTGGTGCTCTATCTCCTCCTTTCTTGGGGCTGCACCAAGAGCATTTTCATGCTGCAGCCCCCAGGAGTTTCCTCCTAAGGAGCCTCTCCAGAGAGACAGGTAGATAATTCAGAGTCCCACTTCTCCAAGGGAATATGGCTCAGTAGCAGCCTCCATACAAAGGGTAGTTATCATAGCTGCAGAAAGAAGTATGAGGCCCATGATGAATATCTGCAGGGTACCTCACTGGCCTGACTTAAGAAAATTATTCCTTTGAACATGATTATTTCCGGGAGTGTCACTGAAGGAGTGTCTCTTAAAACAAAGCCAGCTTATATGAGCTGGCATAAACAAGGTCATCTCCTGGATATATCAACTGTCTTCATAGTGTAACTTCAGGAGTTAACCCACAGAGAATATTTTAATTCAGTTAATACCTTTTATATAATCTTCTGACCTTCTGACCTTCAAGGTCAGAAGTAGGTCTGTGCAGATACAACTGCTGACTTTGCAGGCTCATTTGAATGTGTGTGTGTATGTTTACATATCCCTATCAATGGACATAGACATAGACTTAGTGGTAGAAAAAGGCAAAAGGATGAGAAATCCAGAGGCAGGGGTCCTTGATAGCATACAACCAAAGCACAGGAGAGTACTAGACACACCAAGCCATTGAATGTCTGCCACCTCTTGTCCTGAAGGAAGGAGGTGTACAGCACCCTGAAGAGTCTCTACCCCACCCATGCCTGCAAGGAGTACCTTGAAGCTTTTAATCTACTGGAAAAATTCTGTGGCTACAATGAGAACAACATCCCTCAGCTGGAGGAGGTCTCCCACTTCCTAAAAGGTGGGTACAAGCCTGGGGTACCCAGATCCAGAGTCTGCCAGGGCTCCCACACAGTAGTGCAGATACAGCTCAGAAATCTGAGCCGAAACGAGTGTGTGAGCTGAGATTTGGGAGAAGAGCTGGTGGAGGCTTGTGCATTGTCCACAGAAGTCAGGGGTAGACCCCAGGTGGTTAGGACTGCAGCAAAACACAGTGGGTTGAAACTGAAGGTCAAGCCCACAGTCAAATGATCCCACTGAGCACCTAAAGAACACAGGTTTCTTCCTAGTAGGAGCAAAAAGATTAAGCTTGGCACAGCAGACACCCTGTAGTTTCCAGCACCAATGCTTTTTGTGTCTGTGCTGGGAACATGGGGCAGCAACACTGCCTGTGGGCCGTGCATCCCTTCAAAGACAGTATGCACTGTTTTAGAGAGGACCGGCTTCCAGCTTCGACCAGTGGCCGGCTTGCTGTCGGCACGGGACTTCCTCGCCAGCCTGGCCTTCCGTGTCTTCCAGTGCACGCAGTACATCCGCCATGCATCCTCGCCTATGCACTCCCCTGAGCCGTGAGTATCACCCAGCCCCAACAACTTTTGCTGCATCCCACCTGGATGCAACATCCCACCTGGCCGGCAATTAATCCTTTTCTCTAACAAGCAAACTCTAGCCACTAGTGACCATGTTTTCCTCCTTTTCCTCTGGGCATTGGCAGGGATTGCTGTCACGAGCTGCTGGGGCATGTCCCAATGCTGGCTGACAAGACGTTTGCCCAGTTCTCTCAGGTAAGGTCTACTTCCTCATGCCCAAGAGGGCAGGGAAGGATGTAGTTACCCAAAAATGACCCTAGTCTTGCCATGTAAACCTTCCTTGTTCTAGAATTTATTTATGTTAAATACAATGTTCAGAAGCCCTAGTGATGGACCAAGAAACCTAATACAGAGTAAAAATATCAGACTCTGCAGCAAAGTGATTTTAGCCTAAGCATGATGAAGTCACATCAGATGCATGGCAGTGCAGGGCAACAATATCTGTTGTCTCAAGGCAATAATACAGAGCAATCCATGCATAAGGCCCTCAGACCAAATCTATCCTGACCTTTGCCACTTCCCTTCTCTTCTCAGGACATTGGGCTGGCGTCTTTGGGAGCAACTGATGAAGAAATTGAGAAACTTGCAACAGTAAGTTTTCCTCTCTGCTCGATGGGAGCCCTGACTTCTCCAGCAGCACTTCTGCAGTTATCGGGTGACTGCTCTAGCCTGGTCTCCCCAGGTTTGCAGGCTCAGAGCCCTGCCTGATGTATTTCAGCCCTGCTGTTTCACGATGACTGTGCAGAGCAGAGATCAGCTGAACAGCAGAGCTCGCTTGCACATTAACCCAATTTTATCGGGCACTAGAGTATCATCAAGCATCATATTTCTAATGACAGCACTGCTGGGACTCTTTGGATGGGATTAAATGACATCTGCTTCCTTTGGCTCTCACTTGGCAAGGTGACCCATCCTGCTGCAAGGGCACCAAACAGCAGCACCACACAGTGGGCAGGTGCACAAGAAACCAGCCCAGGGACAGTTTCCATCTGTCCTGGTGTGGCAGGAGCTTAGTTTAGCACTGTGCTCCGGCAGCAGTGGGTGCAGGGTAAGAAGAAGGGACAAAGTGCCAGGTCTCTGTTCATTTCAACAACCCCAGACCCCAGCCATGATGTAAGGGCTCAGAAGTGACAGGGAGATGAAGATGAGTAGCTGTTTCCACTAAGCATTTTTCTTTCTCCTTTCACAGCTTTACTGGTTTACGGTGGAGTTCGGGCTCTGCAGACAGAATGGGATAGTCAAAGCCTATGGAGCCGGGCTCCTGTCTTCCTATGGGGAGCTCATAGTAAGTCCCAGCATAATTTGCCTTTCTGCTCTAGACACTATACAGCAAAAACCTTCCTCTGCACAGCTCAAATGACTTTACCTCTGTCTATCATGTATGTGCTCTCTGACCCCCTTAATTTCACACCAGCATTTTTCTGCTGTGTCCCTAGCACTCCTTGTCAGATGAACCAGAGTTGCGGGAATTTGACCCCGACGCTGCTGCTGTTCAACCCTACCAGGACCAGAACTACCAGCCTGTATATTTTGTGTCTGAGAGCTTCAGCGATGCCAAAAGTAAACTGAGGTAGGACTGGGCAGTGAGGGAGACCCAAATAGAAGGAAATGAAGATATAATATATTGAAACAGAGTTTGAAACCATGGCTGCTTTCAGTTCAAGGTCTCAGAAGTACTCTGGAAACTGTTTTCAGGTCTTTCAAAGTAAAGTGATTCTCCAGTTCCTACATGGTCCAACTTCAGTCCCACGGATTCACCAAGAGCCCACCAAAAATACACTCGACTAAAGGGCACGGGTGTGGAGGAGTGGGAAGAATTCTTGGAGATTCAAGACTTAGGGAGTGAGAGAAGGGACAAATTTAGCTCTTCTCCCTAGTTTTCATAGGAAGGAGTTATAGACTAACTCCAGTTCCCAGGGGAGGCCAGGCAATGTAACAGAGGATTGGCGGTCCAGACATTGAAGACCCAAACCATCCACCAGGAACCCTTCTGCTTCCTTGCTGCAGAAGGTCCAAGTGATACAGATCATGTACCAGCTGTCCCTCATGGGAGCATCTTGGCAGCATGTGTTCTTCTGAAACATGGGCTCTTGCATCATGTAAAAGTTTGCTCTAGGTGTGAAAGTTTTAGGAGAGCGGTGAAGAGCTGCTTAAAATAGTGACATTCTCTGAATCTGGAATTCAGAAAGATGTTCATCTTTCTGAGCAACTGCTGAGCAACTTACCCATTTATCATTCAACCAGTAAAAAACCCCATGCCTTATTAGTAGTTCATATGCAGACAAAAAAGATTTTCTGAAACAGGGATGGATTTATCCATGGAAAAAAAAAATTAACTTTTACTTCCTAGGCTGGCTAACATGGGTTAGCAGACCCCAGACAGCACCCCACCAGTGTAATTGGTTTTTCCCATCACATGGGACTGCAGAGAAGATGGAGAGGGGCAGCTCTACCCACCGATATCTCTTCAGAAGAGCATTTTCTTGGCCATACCCAGAGTTGCTCACAGGAGGAAAGCTCAGTCTTTTAACATTTGACTGACAGAGGAAAACTTTGCCTATGCCATTTTATCTTAGCTTAGGAATGGGATAGGATAAGAGGAAGTTTTACACAATGTATGTGACTCTGCAGTTTATGCAAGAAGGGTATTTCATTATAAGTCAAAGAACGTGTTGGGTTGGAAGGGACCTTTAAAGGTCATCTAGTCCAATAACATGGTGAGGATTGTTATATTTAATCTTTTGCTTCTATTGCCCTCACTTGCACTGTTCATAAAATCCAGAGTCCAGTTGCTCACAAGCTAGCACCTGGGGAACCCGTCCTCTCACACACACTAAGTTCCATTTAAAAAAAACACAACTAACTGTTGCCTAATGAGTCATTTCCTTGCATTTAAAAAAGCAAAATATACCACATACACAGCCAAGATTAGGCTAGACGATTTTGACAGTGACAAGAACTGTAAATGATCCTCTTAAAAGAGCTCAGAGATCATGCAGATATTATTTTATAAAGTAAAAGCAATAAAACTTCTTTTTTATCATTATTACTGGCAGCTGCCACTGTGGGCCTGATTATCAGTGTTATCCCTAAGGAAAGTCTCTTTTCCCAGAAAGAAAACTTTTCACCAGTTTCCTAGGGTGGACATGCTCCCTCAGTGCCCTTCCAGACACCCATGTCACACTTGTAATGCTTCAAAAAGATGTCAAGAGAACACACCCCTGTTGGAGGGCAAGTTTCTAACCATTAGCAGCCATTATGACTCACCACTGTGGCTGATGACATTAATAAGTGAGATGAGGTGGCCTTTACCTAGGAGAGCTGGGGATATGGAGATAAGCAGCGTGTTTTAGGAGGTGGATAATGTACACAGAAAACCCCTCTGTTTGCACTTGGTTTTGCTTCCCTGCAAGCATTGCAGCTCCTCGCAAGCACCAGCCTGCAGCTTTGGTCATGTCGGTGCTTGGCTCCGTCTGGATTTGGTGATGTTTTCCTCAAAACCCGGCAATTCAGGACTAGGCTCCTCCACGGCATGCAGGATCAGCCAAACGAGCATCTGAGAAAGGGATGTTCTTTGCCGGGCCCTGCGCCAGAGCAGACCCGCGGTAGCCACAAGAGGGTACCCTAAGCTAAGCAATTCAGGAGTGAAAGGGTGAAGCCTCAGCAAAGGCAAGCAGCATGCCTGTTGCTAGTGCTGTTTGTCCCCTCATCTTCAGGGGCATTTTCAGCATGAGATTGTAGCCATGAGTAACTAAATATAGATTCCCAGATCTATATTTATGCCGTCACTAAAGAAAAAAAAACAAAAAACACTACAACAAAAACCTTACCTTGTCAAGTGTACATGTCTTAGTGTTGGAGATGAACATGGGCACCTTTGGGGAAACCTTACACTCGATTTGTTTTTGCCTGATTGTGTAATTCTCCATTAGAAAGGCAGCAACAGGGCCTTGCTCTGAGAGGTATAAAGCAAAGTCTGGCTCATAACTGTGATCTAGACTCCAGTTATCTTTGGGTGCAATAGTGCAGTGTTGCTCAGTCACACTGCTCTGTTGATGTAAATCCCTTCCCCTTGCCCAGACCTAAGCCACTGTCTGTCAAATTTAATACAGCTTGCAGCTAGTTCTCCCCTCCTCAAGCAGAGATTAGTCAATATATAAATGTCAGAAAGGGTTTAGAAACATAATACTATAACACCACAGGCTTTCCCTGCAATTAGCTTCTACATCTCCTTGGCATTTTTGAAAAAGAAAAAAAGAAATTGAAGTAGAGGATGCGTGGCAATGGCCACAGAGTGACCAGTTCAGTCCATCCTCTCGACTCATGTGAGCCCATGAGTTCAGTCCACAGAAGCCTGCAAACTCGTGGCCTTCCTTGCAGAACAGGAGAGATTTCAATTATTGCTCCAGCCCTGTGGAACTGGAAAGGTGGGAATCCAAAGCTCTTGTGCTAACCTAGAAACTCTGTCTAAAGGAAGCATGAATCTGTTGTGATCTGGGTGAAAGGTGATGGGTAGGAGGCAGACCCAGGACCCATCTCCTGTACCAAGCCCTCTGCACCCTTTCCTTGCAGGAGCTATGCGGCACATATCAAGCGGCCCTTCTCAGTGAAATATGAGCCCTACACCCACAGCATCGAACTCCTGGACAGCCCTCAGACGATCTGTCACTCCCTGGAGAGCGTAAGGGATGAGCTTCACTCGCTGATTAACGCACTCAATGTTATCAGTTAATACGGGAACTGGGCTATTTCCTTCCTCTCTTCCCCTGCAGCCCCAAAGCTGTCGGCTCTGCCCTTGCCTAGTTCCCAGCTGATAACTCCTACATGTCTTCTCCTAACATTTGCACCGCTGTCTGTCACCACACGACCCCAACAGCTTTCCAGTTTTGCATGTAGGGCCAGCTCGGAGGAGGGCAGAGGGATGGATCCAAGGACTGCTGCAGTTTTTTTGGTAGCTTTTCTACTGACTGCCAGAAGAGGCTTAGCACAGACCAAAAACATAGCCAAGCTACAAAAGTTGAAGTCAAGGGCTGTATGCTAGGCTCCTGGGTACAAGGAAGAGGAGGAAAGCTGCTTTATCATTAAAAAAGAGAAAGAGAGAAAAAAAGAAACCCATTGTTTGCAGTTTGAAAGAATAAATTAATATTCTTTTTTTAGTCCCAAAACAGCTTTTATAGCAACTCTATGAGGGACCTTCAGTCACTGCCATCACCTGCCTCTTACAGCCCTGTACATTTGGGAAATGCAGAGGTGCTCTAGAAGCTTTTCTCCCTGAATCAACTCTATGAGGTTTAAAACTTCAGTTGCCAGCGACCGCTCAGCTTCTTGCACAGGGAGATACTTAGGCACAAATCTCTGAGCTGCAACTCACACCAGGCTGCAATAAGCATTGTACCTCCCTTGCACCTCTACACTGATTGAAGCCAGGAGTCGCCTGTCTGGCATAGAGCAGTCCTGATCTACCTGCATCCCACCCAGCACAAGCACTTCACAGCAAACCCTTGCTACCCTGGAGCAGAGCATGGACACCCCTATCAAGCCCTCTTTTAAAAGTTCTCACAGTAGGGAGTGCTCAGGAGCCCAGCTGCCCTCATGTTATGCCATCATATCTGAGAGCAGATAGCAGTCACAGCTATTGATGTTCCTGAGTGCTGGTGGCCTTGGGCAGCCTCAGAAGCTTCTTGGCATCCTGAGTTTATTGGTTATTGCAGAATGAGTGGGGGCACTGGTGTTCTGAGCTTGCTAATCCTTGGGAAGATTTCATACACTTCTGCTTTGCCCATCTATGACACAGGTACAACATCATCTTATTCTTAGATATCACAGTTTCACTGTCACCTGATGTAGCTCAGGTGCGTGACTAATGCCATTGCTGGCCGTTTCTGAGGAAGGTAACATATTGTTAGGATGCTCAAACCCAGTTTCATCCAGCTTTCACTGTTGATATTAATGGCTTGATCTGACCCAAAGCTCTCAGTTTTCCTCCCCCTCTTTTCCCTTCTTATCTTTTGCAGGCTGTCTCATAACTTAGCAGTTTGCTCAGAAGTTTGGCCCAAGGTTATGCAGCTGTGCAGTATCAGAGCTGGGCTTGGGACACATGGAGGCAGCTAAGAAGCTGTGGGGGACAGCGAAGGGGAGAACTATGCAAAGTTGTTTGCACGATCAGTTATAGCATTTCTGTGTAGACTTTTACCATCCTTGTCCACGGTATATGATTTCTATAATTTCCTCTTCAAAGAAATGCAAGGTTTAGCAGTTAAGTTTTGTCTATTAGGTGTAAGTACCTTCCAATACATGTATATACCATTGCTCTTCAGTGTTAATTCTACTGTGGCTCAGTCTTAACAGTTTGCAATACATTACACCTTGTCCCGTTTCCGACCTTCACATGCATATGCTTAACTCCCAGTTTTCTCAAATTTTAACTCCTTAGCTGCTAATGGCACTTTGTCTCCCACCTGCTTCAATTCTTCCTTTCTGTTTCCTTTCTTATTTGACCCCTCTCCTAAATTCCTCCTAAATTGCTTAAAAGGTCAGTACTGAAATCAGCAGTTCAACACTAGAGCTAGCTGTTTCTCCTCAAGTTGTTCCTCCTTGGAGGATTGTCCTGTAAATGAATAAAACTACTGAGTTCATTCAGTTATTGTAATTTTAGAGCACTTTTTCCAAAGCTTCAGCTATGATTTCCCAATCTGGGTGGATCCAGATCTCGAGCTGTAACTCTCAAGGGTCCCTTAAGAACCGTAACAATTTTTAATTTGGGGTCTTAAATTATTACTATTAGATTAAGTAGCTGGAGCAAGCTATGCAAGTCTAAGGAAGGTTAGGTCATAGGTTAGCTATTTAGCTGTGAAAATCTTATTGGTGACTCCAGTAAAACAAACTAAAATGAAGAAAATAAAGCTCCAAACAGGCAAGAGGTAACAATGAAGCTTGTACAGTTAACACAGAGCTTATGGCTTTGTTAGCAATAGCAATGCCCTGTAACTGGCCTGTAGATCGCTGCTCCTCTCCTCTAGTAGTCTCCAGCTCCTGGGTTACTGCCCAGGAGTGCATCAAGGATGCTGCAAACCCTGCAGTGATGCTAGACTCCTGATCAGGACCAAGGAAGGAGCCTCAAGTAGGGGCACTTGCTTTTTGGTTTGGCTTCGAAATCCATAAAGGCATGAAGGTGGCTGCCTCTCCAAAACACTTCACAGTCATTATCTGCCTTGTTAAATGTCTGAAATTAATGCAGTTTATAAAAAGACCAAAGCTATTAAAATGGACTGAAAAGCCAAGTTAAAAATCCTTGCAATTGGAGGAGACTTCAACTCCTCCGCCCTGCCTTGTAGTTTGCATTGCTGCTCCGTGATCCTGTCAGCTGTTGCTTGTTCAAGGAGCTGTAGTAAAATCTGTTGCTCTACAAAAATAGAAAATAAGCAAAACTTGAAGCATCAACCAGCCCCGTTAGTATGCAAGCATATAAACAGATCTACTGCAGCCACGTGGGAGGTAAACACCGCACAGGCTGCACCCCTTTGCTTCCGAGAGATGAGGTATTGCTGGGGCGGGCTGTGAGTGTGGGGCTCAGGCTGAACAGGCGCGGGAGGTTCCTCTTTGGGGCATTTTCCATGTCTGCATTCTTGATAAATTCATAAGATTACAGAATTACTTGGCTCCTTAGGGAGACATCTGAGAAACATGAACTCGTTTGTATTTATAATTGCCCTCATCTATTTAATATCTTAGAGGACTTATCCTATTAGTAACATAATAACTTCCCTTCCATTTTGTCTCTAAGGCTTGTTCCTTTTTATCTGATTTCAAATACATTACTTGGCCCCTTATTTCATAAGCCATATATGAGTTGGATTCTTCCTTTCTCTTCTTACATATTTTTATAATGTTGTTCCTTCTACCTGAGCCTTGCTTTCTTCTTTATCCTGCTGTAATATTTCAGGGTCTAGGACACAGGGACACAAAGGAATGGGCTATCTAAACAAAATACGGTAGGGTTGTAAACCAGTCTCTAATCTGTCACTGCTTCTTAAAGCTGCTAATATTGAAGTTAACTTTTCAGTCCATCATTTTGGATATTGTCCTACAATTTTCTTTATTTTTAATAGTCTGATTCATTTCTTACTACCAGTCTGGAGGTTTGCAGGTGGTAGGGTATATGAAGTCCTTGCTTGATCCCTAGGTTACTAATTAAGGTTTGAGTTACTTCACTTATAAAGTCCTCTCCTCCATCTCATCCTACCTCAGCTGATGTTCCATACCTATGGACAATTTCCTTTAACAGCATTTTTACAGTTCCAGTATTGTGTTCCTTTCAGGTGGAAGAGCCTCAACCTGTCCTGAAACATATTCATGGTGACAAAGACATACTGATGCCCTTCTTTAGTGTGTGAGATAGTTTATCTGGATGATCCCTTTGCAGTGTTTGCAAGGCCCTTGGTTTGGTTGGTACAGTAGAGTTGGCAGCTTTCTTTTACTAGTTCACTTTTGCATCATTACAAACCTTATGCGGTATTTATTTATGTCCTCTATATCTTGCTTCAAGTTGGGCCAAATATAAATTATTTGCACTCTTTTTAGAGTACCCTGTACTCCTTTATGTGACTTATTATGGCACTTTAAGATCACTTGCTCTTAATACAGCTGGCCACAGTAGCCAACCCATCTTCTCTTTTAGCTGATTCCCGATTGGGGCTGCAGTAAACAGACTGAGTCGATTTATCTACTTGTTCACTAAATTGTTTCTCAGTATTGCTTTCAGTCTTCCTATGTACTTTTATATCCTTTACATATATTTTATTCCCTCTAAGCTTGTAAAGTAAATCTCCTATTTTCTTCATGGGTGTCCCATTATGTGTTTGCCATCGCCTTTCTCCCTGCCGTGCATCCAGTATTTTATTCTATTATCAGCATAATGGCTATCTGTAGAGAGATATTATGCAGAGGCGTTTATGTCTTTTACTGACAGCCTGTAAGCTCCTTGGCATGTTCCTTTCTCTGGTTTCCCCACTATTTGTTCCCTCATTCCACGAATACCTTTATCTTGGATTATTTTTAATCCTTGTTCAAATTTAGCACTCCCATGGGTGCACAATACCTTTGGTTTATTATCAGTTTCTTTAAAAAGGATATCCACATTAATACCCATTTCTTCTCCTTGTGATTAAGAGCATGAGTAGACTGGGGTACGACTGGACTACCAAGGGTGAAAGCCTCAAAGACCATCATAGCCCAGCCTGCCTCTAACCAGGCTTTCTCATGGCCAGGAAAATTTTGATCCAGCCTCTAGGGAGGACTCATGCTACTGGTATCCATTTTCCTTCACTATTTTTCTGTAGCAGTACTGCTCCCACAGAATCAGCTCATGTTGAAATTCTTATTACAAATAACTTTCCTTTGACTGTGAATTTTAGTGCAGGAGCTTTTCAAGCACCTTCTTCCACATTAGATAAAGCATCATTGTGCTCTTTTCTTCAGTTCACTTCCTGATTCTTTTTCTGTTATTGCCATAATGCTCTGCTGCTACTAGCAAAGATGGATACACTGCTGCAAGATACTAGGACAGTTATAGATACGCTACCATAAGAAATTAAATCCTCACAGCACACTTCAGAGTTAGGACTGATCAATGGGAGTCTTTATTTCACAGAAAGCTTAACCTTTCTAGCATCTGTCTATTTTCTTGTTCCACTAGTTCCAATTCCCAAGTAGTTAACCTGCAATTGCATTAATTGTGCATATTCAAATTGACTTTAAATCCCATTTGGTCTATTAATTTTAAAACTCAGCTACTTCTCTCTTGTACATCTTCTTCTGTAGCTACCGTCCCCTGAATATCATCCACATAAGACAATTTATTTTCTTTGTCCCCGAGATACCATC